CCCTTCCCGCAGCGTTTCATTGGTGTAGTATACTTCAATATCGGAGATCTGCTTTTATTCGTGTTGTCTTTATTTTATTTGATTGGACTACCGATAATAAATCATAAATCATAAATGAGCGAAACTCTCGCTCCAGGCGGGACTTTGCAGTATCATGCGGTTACTGACTCTCACATCCTTGGAATCCGTTCGCCAACTATAGCTGTGATCCGCCCGGGGTGACACTGCAGGACATACGAGGAAGGGAAAGCAATAACAAGTCATCTCTGAATGTCATCTCAAAAGAACCACAAGGCAGGAAAACCAAAAACCAATACTTTTGAGAACTGTGTGGTTTGAAAAAAATGGGAGACAAGTCTGGCTTCTTTCACCTCTTAGCTACTCAAAATATATTAGCATAGATCCTACAAGGTAACAGAGCACAAATGTACGGGGAAGAAGCTTAGCAGGGAAGCGTTCGCCACTTCCGAAGACATCGAAGAGAAATGGGGTAAATTTATACTTCTGCAACAGCCGGTCTTTTCTGATTTGCTAAGGACGAAAAATCAAAAAGCAAAAAAAACGCTGGAAACTTCAGCGACTACCTGGTAGAAATCGCTTCCATTGGATAAGTTCTGTGATCGTTTTTATAGCACAGTTTCAATATGCATACCTTTCGGCCCGAAGCAAAGTTCAAATATTCAGTTTTCGATGGTCATCGAGCGAGCTGTAGCGCTATGGAAACGCCAGCACTACGAGTCCTATGGTCCGAAACTAGGAATAATTTCAGCAATCGTTTCGGTGCGAATATTTCGCAAGGATTTCGTGCGAGAAGAAGTCTCAATGCTTTTGCAGAAGAATGTCTCTTCATGTGTATCTCTTCCAGGTTGCCGTATCATTCAGTGCTACGGCGTGGGCGGCGCAGAATGAAGACTTCACGCCGCAAAGCTTCTACTGTTCCTCCTCCGTGGAGGAAACTGCCTACCGGCTTATGTTACTGACATTTGCACTTTCTATAATCGACTTGATTACGCTAGTTGGAATAATAGCTCTGAATATTTTCAACAATTATACTATGAAATGGTATGAATTGGAACACTTAAAAGCGTTTCTTGTAGCTGCACGATATTACCAATCGTGAATTAGGATGTGGTTACTGAAAGATAAGCAAGAGACAGATAACGGATGGAACCTCACGAAGAGTGTCTTAGGATTTGTGTCGCCCCAGGTCTGCAGTTCTAAATGCTCAACATGAGTAAAAGAAGTGGTATCAAGGTGTGGATGTTAGCGATGTGTGGTTAGTAACAGCTGTAATTTGAAATCTTTTCCAAGGGTAATTTCTTATTTAAATAGAATAACAGAATCTCCGACCTCCCTGAAGCAAACTACTTATTATAATTTGTCGTGGTGTACGGAGGGCTTGGTCAGGAATCGGT